AGGTGAGTTGGGCTGAGAGAGAGTGACTGGCCCAGTCACCCAGCTGGCTTTCATGCCTAAGAGGGGACTAGAACTCACAGTCTCCTGCTTTCTAGGTTGGAGCCTTAACCGCTAGACCAAATAAATTTACATACAGATAGTCTTCAGTTAATGACCACTTGTTCAGTGACTGAAGTTATTATGGCACTGAATGAGGGGGATTTATGATCAGTGCTCAGGTTCTGGCCATTCCAGCACCCCCACAGTCATATGATCACAATCTGGGCGCTTGGCAACTGGCTTGCACTTAGGACAGTTGCAGTGTCCCATTATCATTTGCAACCTTTCCTGCTGGCAGTAAGTCACTCACATTCTCCTCCGTCTGGCAGCAGCCACTTACCTGCCCGTGGGTCTGCTTGCAAGCTCCTGGGACTTGCGACTTCCTGCCAGCTTCCCCACTGACTTTGTTTGTTGGAAGCCAGCAGGAAGTTGCAAGGAGGTCCTTGCTTAACAACCCACAATCTTCACTTAACGATGGCAATGGGGATTGCTGGGATTGCCATTGCTAAGCAATGTGATCACATGATGTTTCACTTTACAATCACCATTGTTAAGCAAAAACTATCTGTACAGGTAATCCTCACTTACCAACCACTTGTTTAGCGACTGTTCAAAGTTGCAATGGCGCTGAACAAGTGGCATGACTGGTCCTCAAAGTTCAAGCTGTTGCAGCACCCCTGCAGTCATGTGATCACGATTCGGCACTTGGCAACCGGCTTGCACTTAAGATGGTTGCATTGTCCCACAGTCACATGATTGCCATTTGTTACCTTTCCTGCCGGCTTCCCACAAGCAAAGTCAGTGGGGAAGCTGGAAGGGAAGTTTACGAGTCACTCTGGTAAGTCCCCCAGTCTTCTTGCACTCACAACATGCCATCCATCCTCCAGCTTTCCTGTGCTCACGCCATGCCGTCCATCCCCTGGCCTTCTTGAACTCATGTGTGGCCTGCACTGGACCTCCCCCAGCCCCCGGTGGTACCCCCATAATCTTTACCTGGGACTTCTGCCACTTCCCGCTTAACCTGTGTGTCTTGGGGTTAGGATGGCAGTTGGGACTGCCAGGGTTGTTGCTGCTAAGTGATACGGTCTGCATTGCTTAGCAATGGCAATCCCAGTCCCAACCACCATTGTAACCCAAGGACTATTTGTATACTGTACAGTTTGATTTTAGATATTTTTATTAGAATATGCATTTTTGTAAAGTTTGTCTTGGTTTTGCTCTTGAATTTTCCTTTGTAAAGCAAAGTTATAAACATAAACAATTAAAATTGTTTATCCTTATGAACCTCTTTCAGATTTGCCCCTTTTTCAGGATTGTCCTTTATTCTCCAGGAAAATATGGTCACCATAAATATGATATAATATGACATATTATTCCAGAGTTTTACAGTCTAGGTCTACTAGTCTGATTTTAAGAATCCTCCGAAAAAGTGACACTTCCCTTTATGTGCAGGTTGTGCCATTTTGACTGTATTAGGAATGGCACTTGGGAAACTGATTCCATTTTTATGTAAGGCTATTAACCTTAGTCAGCTTTTCACCCCAGATCCAAGAGACAAAAGGTTCCCTGGTGCTAGTAATGTTTGCGAGCCTCCAAGGAATGAGAGTCAAAAAGGTTGGATGAAGAAGCAATGAAAGCTTTACTAAAGCGCAAGGAGAAGACATCTGGAGAAATATATGTATTATCTGTAAAATACCGATCCTGGGAGTGATCGGGCTACATGGAAAGAAGAATGACAGAACGATAAAAATGAATGTGATAATAAAAATGAAAGTTCACACTGTATTGGATACATTGGACAATGTTACAATCAAAAGTGGGATGTAAATAGTTCTATCTGCAAGCTGGATAGGATAAAAACCACATAACTTGGAAGCTTAAGAATAGAGAATACCAGTTCTTGCCTATCTAGGTGAGTGATCTCAAAAAAGCGAACTGAGGTCAGATCCGGCTAGTATTCAGATGGGAGAGACACCCACCAGGAATTTAGAGAACTGCAAAGGGAACTAGGGGGGATGTCTCTGAAATCACCAGGAATTGAGCTCAAGGTAAAGGACACGTCCCTTGACAACCTCTGGGAAAAAGACCACAGCAGGCCACTTCCATGCTGTTGCCAAAATCACTTCTTGGACTGTCCATGAAGGTGACTTTTACAATACTAATTCTGTTAAAAGTATATGTAACTCCTTGAAAAACAATAAGAAATTAAGAATACTTCTATTTATAGTATCTCTTTGATAAAAGTCCTCTAATATATCTTACCTGACAATACTGAGAAGAAATTTGAGTTTGGGATTTACTGTAATGCTGCTTTGGGCGCTGCCAGTGGATTTCTTCCCCAGTCCAAAATAAGCTGGCATCCCAGTTTAAATTCAACTCTTTCACTTTGAAACCTCAGATTTCAGTTATGCTTCTAAGACAAGAATGCTGTGTATTCAACCTAATAAATGTAAGCAGCAGTGTGTGGTAGGCATATAACAGATGATCTGTTTATTTTAAGGGCCAGTTCAGCAATGAGACTCATTGAATGGAATGTACTTATGACTATTTTAAAATATCTCTTCTGGAAGCCTTTCAAGCAGATGCCTTCTGCTTCTGATTTTTTTAAACTATTCTATTGTGATGGAAAAATAATAAAGCTGCAAACTCTCCCCCCCCTCCCCCTGCCTTTCTGCCCCCGCCTCTCCTGTTGTAAACTCTGCCCCATTTCCCTCTGCTGTTTCCTGCTCCCCCCACCACCACTTACACATGTAAAACAGGACTAGTCCCAGACTATTACATGACCCAAGAATGGCCATGTTTCCGCTATCACACTAAAGGAATGAGAGGGCCATCACCTGTCTGCTTAAGGGTTTGTCCAGGAGGCAGCCTCAGTGAAGAAGCCTCTGTTGACCAGGTGAGAAACAGCAGGAATTCCATTTTTATTAAACTTGTGCACCTGCTTTTCTTAACCTTCCATTCTCCTTGATAATGGAGTCTTTGGCTTGGTTGCCTTCTTACAAAAGCATGTTTTTTGTTTCACCACAGAAAAGCACTTGTCCCCTGTTTAACACCTATCCAAAACTCACCCGCTAATCAGATCCCAAGGATTTCCCGCCTCTCAACCCCAATGTACAAGAATCTCTTCTTTTCTGTTGTTCGGGATCCTTGTTTCTTGGAAAGCCAGCACCCAATGATCATTGCAATAAACATGGTTCTTCTCCTCAGCATTGTGCTCCTTTCTTTGGCAAAAATTCCATGACATTGTTAACAGGACAATACCTTGTAAAACTCCCTTTTGAAAAATCTGCTTTAAAAGCACTTTTCATGCAGTGTTCTGGATGAATGGAAATTTCCAGCAACTGTACATTTATTATTATCACCCTTGTTCAAGTTATTTATAACTCACTTTAGGAAATCATAACTCCAAATCCCTGCTTGATTTTACAACTACTGTACATTCCGTTTTTATCTTCACCTAAGTTTTGTCTTTTACAATGGAAAAGACAATAATATGACCAGTTTTTGAGCATTTTCATTAGGATGATGGATGTAGAGATATGTGGGGATGGGGAAAGGGATCTAATTCATCCACAGTTAACTCCCCATTCAGTTTTTACACAGCTGCTCAGATCAGTGTCAGGTTCTTTACTCATAGAGCATTACAGAACCATTTTGGGAGGAAGCAACTGTGCAGTTAGCTTCAGTGACCTCCTAAAACTGTAAAGAATCACCTATTTTTTTTCTGAAGGTGTTGAAAGTACTTTGTAGTTTGTTCTATTCTCCTTGACATAAGGAGTGAGAACTGGAAAAAATCCAGTGAGGGTCAAATTGAGGTAAATGCACAATTTACAGCACCGGTTTGTTCCTGTCAACTATTATCTAAAGAAAAGCTAAACTGTCCTCATATAAACCATATTTTACCTATCAAGATCACACACAACAAGATAAATGTTAAAATCAAGAATTATAATAACCAAGAATTAGTTATTTTGTGTTTTTTTTAAAGCAGTTTATTTCCATTCTGCAGTTTAAGATAAAATACCTGGTATAAATATAAATGTTATAATTTAATAACAATTTTAAAAATAAGACACATAGAACAACAGCTTAAATGAAAGCTTTAAACAGAGTTAAGAATGTAATTGTATAACAGATGCAAAAATCAGTTAATGACTACAATTTATGGCTTCTTGAACTGCTATTGTTATTACTTTTTAAAATGTATATTTAGCATTTTCTAGCCATAGCCAGTGCCCATACAGAAGCTGTTCCTGTACTCTCTCATATTTGTGAACATAAAGTGCATTAGAACAAGTAATCAAATGCCTGATTCCTACATTTGAATTATTTAAATTAAAACACCTGAGTAATATCTAATTATTTTAGATAAGTGCAATTTTATATGTGCAGGGTGCTTTTAATTTAGTGATTTTTAAAAAGGGTTATGAAACAAAAACAATAATACTGCAGAAATATTTAAACAAAATTGTATTTTGCTTCAAATCATGGATTTTCTCCATTTGCTGGTTAATTTATTTGCTAAGTATGTGCATTAAGCTTAACCACGCTGAGGATAATATGACACTGGGCTGCAACCATCATTCGGATAAATTGCTAGAGAGTAATAATTTTGCTCCCATCCTCAAAGACAGCTTGAATAAACTGTTTGAAGATTCTGTCCATGTACGTACACTTTCTTGGCCACCGTCCTTCCAGAAAACCATAATGGCCTCCATAGGAAGCAAGGATCAAAGCTATGTTAGGGTTTTGTTTTGCAATTTCTACTGGGATCGCTGAAGAAACAAAACAGGATGGTGTGGAGAGAAAAAGAGTAAGATTCCATTCTGATATTCTCTTAAAATTATCTTGCAAGTACTGGAACTTAATGATTTATTTAAGTGCAGTTCTGGTTTGTGTGTAGGATACTGGTTAATAAAAAGTAAGTGCTGGTCATAACAGAAGTAATTTATCAGTATTTTAGATAAAATATACAACATGTAGGCACTCTTTTGGATAATAGGACTAGAGCTTGGGGATAACAACTGGCTTCTTTGCATCTGGATCGAAAACTGGATCCTGAGAAGTTATATAAAAATCCCTCTTTTTTAATAAACCTATAAACTACAGCCTATAAACAATAAAGTACTTTTAATTGAAACATTTGGCAATCTTTGTGATGGAACACCAGAATCCTTTTGCACTGCTGCCTTACTCTATAATGCCTTTTAAATTATACAATGCAAATTAGATACAATGCAAATTTATTTCTAAGGGACAGTCAATTTAAGATCAATCAAGAGCATCATCATAAGAGAACAAAAAATAAAACTTGCCATGATCTGGTGAGAATGCATCATCCAGAGAATTTAAGCACAACACTGGAATTCCAATTTTCTTCAGTTTATGTCGTGGGCTGGCATCTTCATAGTAATCTTCAACTGTAGGATAGCCAAACATGACTGTGGTAAGCTGTTTATCAAGTTCCCTAATAGTCTTAGCCTGAAATATATAATTCAAGTTAAGAACTTACATCTGTATTAATAAAAAAATAAAGTTGAGAAACAAATGATTCACCTCATACCTTCATTATAAGATTCATGTTAAATAGCTTATCAAATACTCGCTGGTGTCTATAAAAAAATAGAGAAACTAAATTAAAAGTCATCAAACAGATGTGAATTTGCACAATGTTCTAGTTTAAAAAGTGGTTGGCTAGCTTGTGGCTCAAGGTCCCAGCCTTTGTGGCCAATGAATTCAGGCAATAATGTTAATTTTGTAAGTAAATCATGGATTAGCATGTTGTGCAAATACATGAAAAAATAAAATTATAGTGACTGAAAGTTTTATATCTTTGGCTCAATTCAGCTCGAGGTTATAATCTTATTGGATGCCTGAAACATGATATTATTCTCTGTGGCATAAAGTGGCACCTATGTAAATCAGATCAAGGATAAATAGCTCAGTGGCCACCCTGTATTACACTATAATGTTGGGAAAGGGGGTTGGTGGTGGTTATGTTTAGAATAGTCTTGTTTGTAAACTGCTGCTTATACTTTAGTATATTGTGCAATCTGGACAAATTCAATAAAGGCTTAATTTAATATAGAATCCAACTAGCATGCAGATAATGCTAGTTAAAAAAAATGATTATCAATCATTTATGTGGTTCAATGTATTAAGAACCACATGGGCATAGTTTCCAAAGAGACTAATTGTTAAAACAGGTGCTCATATGATTTAGGTTTCCATGTAGCTGCAATAAAAATTGGGCCCGAGTTATACAACAAAAGGAATGTGAGCCTAACCATTCTGGATAACACCCTAAGTCTAATTTACTTTATGTGAAAAGAGGAAAAGGAAATGACTCCATAATGCTAGTTTCCAAGAAAATGAGAAGTGTTTTCTTTTTGCCATTTCTTTCAGGAGAAAACACATTAGATAGCCAAAGATGAACTGCAAGTTGGCCAGAAAGACATAAACTGTGCTTTTCCACCAATTGTTCATCCTCAGCAGTTTCATAAAATTTGAGCTGTGCTCTAGGTTTGTTTGTTTCTATGTTTTACATACTGTATATTCATTTAAGATGCAATCTAAAATAAAGATTGAGCTCTGAAGCAACATGAAGAAAGGAATAGTATTTGTAATTTCCCTACATGGCTTGATGAGATGTGTTTATTTTGTTGCATATGCATTTATGTATGTATTACGTTTTTATCCTGCTGCAAAAAGTACAACTCTCAGGGGTTAATGTAATACCGAAACAAGTTAAAACATCCATGGTATGTATTGAAACTCTGGTGGACAGCAGCATTTTTCCAATGTTGAAGACTAGGAACATTTCACAAAGGTTAATATTCTTGAAGATAAAAGTTTTGATCCCTCCCATATCATGAAGAATAAGAAATTAAGTTATGAGACTAAAACTGGTTCTTCCCTCCAAAAATTGTTTCCTTTTGCTAGGGAAACAACTGTGAGAAATCTCTAATTTTCAAAAGCTTAACATCTGTATGTTAAGGCAGAAGCTGAAATGATGGTTTGACTAAAGCCACCTAAAGAATTCATTTTTGAACTGAGGCTTGAATCAGGCATTCTCTGGTTACTCATGCTGAAATTACTGCAGCATATGAGACTGCATACAGTTTTTAAGTATACACACACACACACACACACACACACACGCAATATATCTATATATGGCTCCGATGCTGGGAAGGGCATAAAGAAAGAGAAGAACAGGATGACCAGCAGCAAGATGGATGGACTGAATTCCAGCAGTGATGGGTATACCCTTAGAAGACCTGAAGGACCAGGTTGGGGACAGTTACTGAAACTATGTTGACAGTTATTGAAAATCTGTCAATGTCATTGCTAGGAGTTGACAGTGACTGATGTCATATAATCAATCAAACATAAATTATATTTGGAAGCCATTGGTGGTACATAATGTAAGGAAATAAATCAATTCATATATTTTACCCGGAATGGTAAGAAGAAAGTTCATCTCATCTGGATATACACTTTATGACTAATATTTCTCTAGGAACATTAATAACATCTTGGGGCAATGCTATTCCAAGTAACAAAGAAACATACATACATACAGACTATACATATGTAAAGCTGATAAAATCCTTCAAAGTAAACCCAGTAATGAGCAGCAGTTTAGAGATTACTTAAAGACCTGCAGAGATTAAGCCTGGCATATCTCTATTGGAACCAAGTTCTGCAAATATTGGGCTAAATGAATTCTTTAGGTGGCTTTAGTCAAACCATCATTTCAGCTTCTGCCTTAACATACAGATGTTAAGATCTTGAAAATTAGAGATTTCTCACAGTTGTTTCCCTAGCAAAAGCAAGTTCTGCAAATATTGGGCTACTATCAGAAAGGACATTTGTTTCCTGGCTTCCAACATAATTGTTCTTGTACATGGACAGAACAATAGACACTAATCTAAGAGTATAGGCAGGCTGATCTAGGTGAAGTTGGTCCTTTACCTAACAGTTTTCAGTGGACTTGAATTTCATGCTAACATGCATTTTTCAAAATGCACTTGGATTTCACTTACCTAGTAACTGAAGACTTCAGACAGTTGGTTAAATAATAATTAAAAATAAGCCAATTTACTGTTTTTTCCAGTGAGTTTGCAGATTCAAAAGCATTCCATCCTGCTGAAAAAACTACAGCTGTTTTAATGGTGTTTTTTTGCCAGTTTTGCCCGAATAGTTTAAAAGAAGCATGCTACAAACAGAAGAGAAACAGATGTCTGAAAAAAATTATCTCACAAAGCATTTGTAGCTATCCTGAATATTTGAACTAGCAGATGTACTTATGAGACAGATTCAATGGCAAAACAATGCCAGTCATGTTAGTTGACACTACAGTGCTAACGTTTTAATATTGTTCATTGATTATGATGATGCCAGTCTTGAAATTTGGAACTCAACAAAAGGCTTGCATTGATTCAGTAGATTGGATCCAGAAATCCATATCATATAGTAAAAAGCAGGTATAATCTGCCACATCATTCTACGCTGTTCCTAAAGGTGACCCACTTTGGGGATGAGATTTTTGTTTTTAAAGGAAGAAAGATGTTTCTAATGAAACACAAGATAGGAAAGCTCATTCCAGACAAAGCACCATTAACATTCTCAAGAGCCAATTTATAATCTTTGTTTCTTCTCTAGATTAATTTCTTGGTATTTAATTCCACCAGTGGAAATTGATCATGACAATTTTTGTGACTGCCTTTTGTCAGCGTATATTCTGAAGTTTGGTTCACCATCTATAACCATTTCCAGAGACAAGGCACCCAGTCACTATGATATATGCAACATTCCACAATTTCTAGGCTAGATAACTATGCTCTACACAGGGATACCTCTAAAATCTCTACTAACATCTCAGATCAAGAGCAAGCAAATGGGAACGGAACTCATTTCTGCTAAGAACTCCACATTCATTCCCAATTAATTTCTAGGCATTATTCAACATGTTAATTTTAATCTTAAAATTATCATGATCCACAATATAAAAGAAATCCCTCTTCCCATAGCAATTGCTGCCCCAATCCTCACGCATTACAGGGACTGATCCAAACACATTTATCTGAAGTTAGACATGCAGTTTCCGATGTGATGCTTTTGGTTACCAGTGTGCTTGTATCATTTTGGCACTTGCTAGGTTTCCACCCCTCCCATATTTTTAAAACATATATTTATATAGCGGTTGGTATGCTGCAAAACTAAATGCTCACAGCAACTCACTGGGCTTCAGATATTATGGATTCCTGGCATTGTTCTGCTAGCCTGAGCAAAACTATGCGCACATCTTGCCTGCTCTAAATATAATTCTCTAGGAGCATGCAGTCCTTTTAAACCAAGACCACTTAGCTTTTATGTGGTTTGCTGAGGGCAACTGTCAAAAAAATTGGGTCTTCTGATTGAATTTAAATTGTATTAAACTTAAACATAGTTCATATGATTATCCCCCATGCATTTAATAAGCTTTCTAGCCACTACATTAAATATTAAATAATATTGGTCATAATATTTTGGCAATGTTTGGAGGAGATCCAGCTGCTGTATTTTTGCCCTACATACTAGAAATTAAAGTTTTCAAATAATGTAATACAATGCTGTCAAGAAAACAGAGAAAATGTTCAAGTCTGCAATGGAAACTCCTACAACTCTGATTTAGCAAGGTAATTTGAAATCTAAGGTACAGTACAAGTAAAGTTCTTCAAAACAACAAATATGACGTGGAGTGATATCACTGCCAGAGCCCTGTCCTATTTTCATCCTCATTTACCTTACAAACAAGGGAATTCCTCCAAGCTTAGTTCAGAGCTCCTGATGGCCTGCAGAGATAGGAACAATATAATAAATCTGCATGACCATGGCACATGGAGAGATGATGAAAGGAAATAAGGAAGAAAATACCTCAAATCCTCCCTGTTGCCTAAAAATGCTTGCTCACTGGCCTGAGAACCTAGAGGGCTCTCTTCTGCTGATTCTTGCGTTTTCCACAGATCGACTTCAAAGGCTGAAACATAAATTTTATTTATATCATTCATGCCTTGTTCTGCTAGCTGATGGGCTCTCAGAATAGACAGCAGTTCAGTAAAAACAAGGGTTTAGGGAATGCTGTGACCTAGATGCCTTTGGTAGATTTCTCTTGCCCTCTGGTGGGTTTCCTCCTTGGCTGCGGTTGTTTCTCCTTCATCTTCTTGTTAATTGCAGAGAGAACTAGCAGGTAGGTGAGCAAGCAATGTGAAGGGACTAGCAGCAGCACTCCCTGTTCATTGGTCTCATAAGTACCAGTCCCCAGGAAGAGAGTAGGCAAAGGCATGAGGAATAGCTGTTGCATCTCACCTGCTTGGGTTGGTGAGTGAATGAAGCAGAAGGGCAACTCCTCTCTCCATGGGTGACCTAGGGCCTGGGCTGTCTATATCATTCCCCTGAAGAAAGTAGGCAACAGCAGCTGCTGTTCCTTGGATAAGTAGTTAATCGGTGGCAGTGATAAGGAACCTTTGCTTTCTGTCCTTTCCTTCTTGGGCAGTAAGCAAGGAAATGAAAACATTAGGAAAGGCAGAGACAAGGGAGGGTTCCCTTCATTCATTTGGAGCTTGGCAGCTAGCTGAAAATGGCAGTCCTGGACACCAGTTCTATTTCACCACTGTTTTCTCCTGCCCCATATTTTGACAATTACCAGGTCTTACACTTTGTATTACACATTAATATCAGCAGATGCAGCCTACAAGAATGCAGTGTTTGAGAGGAGTGGTTTTTGCCTTCTTCATAGAAATGCTTCATAGAAATTTAACTCAGTATTAAATGGAATTCCTGCTTCAATTTAATTCACAAACTCGGAAACCTGAATTTTTCTCTCCAATTTTGGCAATGTTCTGTATGGACCTGATGATAAATTTGTGGCTTAATCGCTTCTTCATCCTTCAGGTTTTAACTCTATTCTCTTTAGCAATGCAGTTAAAACATGAAGGATGAATAAGTGATTAAGTGATACAGATTTGTTATTTCAGTGGCACTATTTCTATTCCTTTTTTGTACTATAAGAATGGCCACCAAGGAATTAAGTTTTTCAACGCTTAAAGGAATTGTTACATTCTTCTGGTTATGCTCACTACATTATATTTGCTCAGTGTTCTTACTTTATTTAAGAGCAATTCTTACCAAAAGATTTTCACCAGCAGTTCCTCGATAGTTAAAAACCACACACCTTTAAAAACAAACAAAGAGCACTGTTTATTAGAACTGTTCATTTGAGTATTCTTGGATGTGAAGATCCATGTATCTGGAAGCTGCTTCAGTTTATATATTTTGATTTGCCAAAAGATTCAGAACAAGGAATAAAAACATGTATTTTGCACAGATGTATGTATGTCTTTAATCTGCCAAATCTTTTGCTGTAGCCCAAACTAAATCATCTGGAGCCATATAGATAAGAACAGAAAGAGGGCTGACTTCCTTGTTGTAGTCACATGCTTGCCACTGGGGCCCATGCTGCAGCTGATTTTGATGCAGGTGATGAGGTACTCTCAACTCTCACTGAAAAATGCAATATTAATACTGTGAAGCAGTTTTTCTCAACCTTGGCAACTTTAAGATGTGTGGACTTCAACTCCCAGAATTCCCCAGCCAGCCAGAATTCTGAGAATTGAAGTCCACACATCTTAAAGTTGTCAAGGTTGAGAAACACTGCTGTAAAGTAATACCTGCAGTGGAATAAGGTTGGCAACCCTCCCTTACTAACTAAGGATCAGTTCTATTTGGACATGGTGGAAGTAAGCTTCAGGCTGAGAATAGCACAACAGCCTGTGCACCCAGAATTCCATGTTCATTGTTCTGTCCTTCTCTTGTTAATCTGCCTGCTGTTGCCAGTTCCTCCCTCTCCTGGCCTCTCAGTGTGTCTGTATCCCAATCAGTCAATGTTTTTGTATGGGAGCAAAATGATATTTGCAGCAGGCTATAATCTTTAAGCCTCTCAGAAACACTGGTAGGGAGCAAAGTTGGAGCCATCCTCACAGGCAAAAGTCAAGCAGCTCCTACAAGAAAGATGAAGGGAAGAGGGGTTTATGCAGAGTATGTGTGTTTGTAATTTAAGCCAATTACAGTGCACATTCTGCAACCTACATAAAAATCCAGATGCCTTCTGCATTCTCCTATAATTTTAATGCAAACTTTTTGGAGGAAGGTTGTTGAGGAGGTAGTTGGATTGCAACTTCAGAAAGTCCTGGAGGAAGCACATTATCTGGACTCCTTTCAGTCAGGTTTCAAGCTTCATTATGCTTACTGATGACCTCTAGCAGAGATGGGATGGGAGCCTGGTTCTTGACCTTTCAGCAGCCTTTTATACCATCAGTCATGGTATTTTTCCAGTGTGGAGGGGATGGGTGGGGCGGGGAGAAGTTGAACCTAAGGCTCTTGATCTGCACTCTTGCCCCTCCTGTTTAACATCTGCTTGAAGCCACCGGGTGAGGTCATCCATCAGCACAGGGTCAGTATCATCAATGTTGATGATACCCAGTTTGTATATCAACCCTGCATCAACTGAGGAGGCTGAGGACTTATCCTAAGCCTAAGGCTGATGGGGTTTGGATGGGAAGGGGCCTTCGAGTAGCTCTGACCTTGCTGTCCTCTAAATAGGCCCTGAAGACCTGTTTTTTTTCCAGGCACTGTGCTGGGGAATATGTGCCGCCTGTGGGAATGGCACAAATGTACTGGCTACACTGGTCTATGGGTAATCGCCTTCTTTTTCTCTTTTATTGCACTGGGTGTGTTTTTAACTTGTGTGCTGCCCACATTCATTTTGAGCTGGGCAGATTAATCAGTCAGTCAGTCAGTCAGTCAAGGAGGATTGCAGTTAGCAGGACCCACTGGGAGCTGTCCAGCACCACAAATTTTCTTGACCTCACTGAACAGATGATTGGCCTGATCTTCTTTTGTCTTGTTTGGATAATTTGACAAAAATCTCAGCCTGACCACATCTACCTGACTGTGAACCACAAGTCCCCACAGAGTACAGTAAACTTGGCCAGTGAAAACTGCCGGGCTCAGTAACCATGGAATGCTACCCAATTTTTGAGGCCCACAGAAAACTAGATTGGAGGACGATGGATTGGAAAAAGACTATACGAAGGCTAACTTTATCAATAGTTAGCAACTGTGATGGTCATATACATCTCCTAGGCTCAGAGATACTGTCACAGCCACTGACAGATGAGAGATATGGTCATAATGCCTTCCCTAGGGGCTACTTGGACACATTTAATTGGCTACTGTTCTTGGGTAGAGTCATCTAGTGTGCAGGTCCAGACTGTCTTAATTTTAGAAGGAAATGGAATATTGGCTTAAATAAGGTAATTTCATGTTCTCCAGGTGAACATTTCCTGGGGTGGGAGGGATCCAGAGAGTCAAGATGGTGGCTACAATTACATGGTTGTGTTTGCCATCTTGACTTTTTTGAGTCTCTCCCCCATGGATGCCCTTGTTCCCAGATGTGTTGCAATTTGCCTACCCTCATTCCAAATAGCAAAATTTTTGACAAAATGAAGGGTAGGCAAGTTCAAATATTTTTTTTACTATGATTTCTATGAGACTTAGTCAGCATGGTCAACAGTGCTCCTCAGCGTTCACACAACCATTCATCTTACCCAGCAAAAGAGTTGAGAAAAAATAAAGATGGCAAAGATAGCACTATTCATATGAAAAATAATAATTTATCCCATTGGCTTGCTACATAGGAACAGCAGAACTATTCTCATGTAGCAAAAGGAATGTATATTTCAAGAAAAGAACACAGTTTTTAAGCTGTCCTGTCTGGTGCCCTCTGAATAAAACGGCTACCATTTCCTCAGGCTGAAATCCTGCGAGTTGCAATCCCCAACATCTGCATGGTATTTGCGGAAGAGGCTGCTGTATTTGAATGATCCTGAAAGGGCCTCATTTCAAAAGTGTTAATACTGTAGTAAGAAGGGAAGATATACCCCATTTGCTTCAGTCCTCATCTTAGATTTTCTGCTTGTGTGTTAGTTTCACACAACAAGCTGGCGCTGGGTCCCTCTGCAGTGTATCCTGCGCAACCACCGAGGTACCAGGTTATATCGGAAAAACAAAAGCAAACCGATTTTCATTCTATTAATTTAAAGTGAGGAAGGGAAATTGTCCCTCGCCTTTTCTCTCCTAAAGCGCAGGGCTTCCTCACACGCCAAAATCTCCAAACCGATTTTTGTGCTCAAGACGTAGCCTGTGACGTAAGGATGGATAACTTAACTTGTCTCTTTCAAAGTGGGTCAGAGCCTGGCGATGACTCGTTTGGCCTTGCCCGCTTCCTGCCCACCGCCGGGTGGGTTTCCCGGGCCACTTTTAAAAGGCGGAGATTGCGGGGGGAGGGGGAAGCAGGAGGCGAAGGAACCCTAGCTTTGCGGTCGTACTGAAGTAATACCAGACATACGCGGCCCCAAAGCACAGCACCAGAGACCAGCCGATCCCCGAGATCAACAGGCCCTCCCGGAGTCGGCTTTCCAAGTACAAGGATAGGTCTTATAAGTTCATCTCTAGACGCGCCGAGGAAATCGCGGCCCCAGTTTACATTGCAACACCGGGATGCGTGCGAGAGAGATGGTCGTAAGGGTAGGAATGGCGCTCTCCGAAAGCGTGGCAGCACCCGCAGCAACATCACGGGCGATTGTTTTTCCTCTACTGTAGCTTCTACTTAGCTATAGGGCAGTGTTGTCCAAACTTGGCCACTTTAAGATGAACGGACTTCAACCCCCAAAATTCCCCGGCCAGCCTTGGGATTCTGGGAGT